TCCCTTATATATAATATATGATATTATATTATATTATAGTAATATATATTATTTAATATTATATAATATAATATATTAAATATAATATATATATATATATATTATTTATTAATATAAATATATATAATATATATTATCTTGTAAATATCATATAGTGAATAGTGGGTTTGTGTTAGAAAATAATAGCACTAAGAATGTTTCCCCACCTGAAGAGGTAAGGTTTTGTTTTACCATGAATTAGACCATGGTAAAAAAATTTACCATGAGATTTATTTGCATATAAATTACACACCAAACAAACATATGAAACACAATTTTCACGTGAAAGTATTTTCTAGAAAATATCTACCCAGGAACCAAACTTGCCCTTAGGAAAAGGTTTATATAAGGATGATGCCCTAAACTATTAAATTAAGGCGTACCTCAAACATTCACTAGCAGAGGTTGTTTTGATGCTCAAACATCCTCAAATTGATCATCTCGACATGAAGATGTATGGACACGATAAAAAAAAGAATTTCTAAGTTTTGAAAATAGTGCATCTTGTAATACATTTTCTAAACCATCAATTTTCAAGATTTTCAAGTGTTTATAGATATATGCAATCTATACTTTTTTAAAAGATTTAAATCTTATAAATAGAAATGAAAATAAATTTTCAAGCCATCACAAAGGTTTTCAGTACTGAAATTTAAAGTGCGTGTTACTTTTATTTTTTAAGACTTGAGCCTTATTACAAAGCACACCCTTTTCTTTAAGGGTGCAGTTTGTATAGAGCCTAGGCTCTAAACAATCAAATTAGAGCCTACCTTCAAATAGTATCGAGAAATGTGATTTCAATACTGAAAATTTTTTGATAGCCTTAAAATATATTTATCTTTATTTATAAAATTTAAAGCTTCAAAAATAGTATAGACTGAGAGATCTATGAAAACTTGAAAATCATGAAAATTGATGGTCCAAAAATGCGTTACAAAATACATTATTTTGAAAACTTAAAATCCATTTTTTTCTTATGTCCATGCATCTTGATGTCGATATGATCAAATTGAAGATATTTGGGCATCAAAACAATATGTTGTAGTAAAATTTTTGAGGTAGGCTTGAATTTGATTGTTTAGAGCCTCGGCACTCTATAAACTTTTCCGTTTCTTTAATACCCAACAGTTCAAAAAAAAAACTCGAGCACTTGAATTTATAAAAGGAAAAGTTTATATAGAGCCGAGGCTCTAAATAATCAAATTAGAGCTTACCTCAAAATTTTTGCTAGAAGAGATTGTTTTGATATCCAAATATCCTAACATTGATCATCTCAACATCAAGATGCATGGATATAAGAAAAAAAATGGATTTCAAGTTTTGGAAATAATGTATTTTGTAACACATTTTTGACCGTCAATTTTCAATATTTTTAAATTTTCATAGATACATCGATCTACATTATTTTTGAAGCTTTAAAATTTATAAATAAAAGTAAAAATCGATTTTAACGCTATCACAAAGATTTCCAGTATTGAAACCATATTTCTCGACACTATTTGAAGGTAGGTTCTAATTTTGTGGTTTAGAGGCTACGCTCTATACAAACTGCACCCATTTATAAATGGAGTAGGTCAGGCCCGACCTCATATTTATTAATTTATCCACTTTTTGGGTGGCGAGTTTGAAAGAATGAGTCATTTTTTTTTTTTCTTTTGTCTTTCAAAAGTCAAAATATTTTTGAGCAGTTCTAAAAGCAATGTTTTGAGAGATATAAAGTGGGACGTTAGCCACCAAATTAGACACATTGGTGATGGAATGGTCAGGAGTTCAATATATAATATGTTTAGTTTACCCGGTTTCTATACGGCCAAGCCCGCATATGTAGAAATGCGGGTCGATTAAATAAATCTATTTTTAAGATGGATTTTTTATTTAATTTTTAAAGGCCTGTAATCTTTAACATGGAGATCATGAATATGAAAAAATAAGTCAATTTTAAAAACTAGATATAATAATTTTAATAAGAAAACATTTTGACCGTTAGTTTCTATTGTTTTTAGATGAAACACCTACTTGCATCCATCTTTAAGATGGTTGCTTTACACTTTAGTTCTCAGCCCGATCAAGTAGTTCCAAGTCGGCTCACTCGGCTTTATAACATTGGTGATAAGGAATGAAAAAGTTGAAATAAAGCATGTGTCTTATGAGAAAAAGTAAAGCCTCACTTTAAAACTTATCGAAAATTATAATTATGGCCTCAAAAAACATTCAAATTGATCATCTCGACCCTGATCATTATGGTTGTGAAAAAATTTAGGATTTTAAATCCTAAAAATAGTGTAGGATGTAAAACATTATCTAGATCATCCATATTCAAGTATTCACTGATCCCATTTTTGAGTCACAAATTTCATAATCCATAGTGGAAATTGATTTTAGAGTGATCATAAAAATTTCTCATGTCTAAAGTGTTTTCCAAACGAGGTTTCAAATGTGTGGCTTTACAAGGTGTCAAGGTGAGGCTTTACTTTTTTAGTTTTTTTTTATTAAGTCTTAAGCGATGTAAGGAGTGAGGTTGAGGTCAAGGTGGTAGATCCACCTGTGACTGAGCTATCGGCCTCGGTTTCCACTCCTGTCAATGCTAACCCCTCTCGAAAACTACTAATAGATACAAAAATTGCTAACCTACTACTAACCGTTAACGTTCAGAAAAATAAAATAAAAATAAAGGCCTTGGCCATATAGAAACTGCATATGATATTGCCCCCAAAAAAATTGTTGCTTCGTATAATAAGATGTAACAATGACTTTGAATGCACAAGGCAGAGCGACAAAGGTTAAGAGGAAACTCACAGGTTCATCCTGCAAGGGAGGCTGAAGCCGCTCCTGAACAGTGGCCTTAGAGCATTGCAGCCTCATTTTAGCACTCGAATCAAAAACACCATTAGGCGAAGAGATGATTGAGAAAGGTTGAGGAAAATAGAGAGGAGGGGAGAAATTAGGACGAGAAGGAAGAGAGGAGAAAGGCAACTTCACCACATGCATCATCGTACTCATTTCCTTGAACATACTCTCAACACCCATTTCCCTTCTTATACCCATACATCCCCACAAGACTACAAAAAGTCAGAGATTCTTTTCTCATGAGGGAGCATTTCTACTACGTACTCCCTCGGGTCCACCCAATGTACGAGTATTCTTGAAGCCTCAGGATGCAATCTCGACCATAGGTACTGGGATCTCACTCCGGAATCTCACTTCGACGTTCCGGAGCCGGGATCTCGCTTGGAACATGTTCGATCTTTTTGGGATCTCTGTCCAATTTTTAGGATCCTCGATCCTATTCACAACAGAGCTCGCTCCCGATACTTCAGGGATCTCCCTCCCATTCACAACAGATCTCGCTCCAACTAAAGCACGGATCTCGATCCCATACACAACGGATTTCACTCCTTCTACTTCACAGATATTGCTCGCATTGTCTCACATAACACGTTCTATAATATTGTAGATGTGGTTCGTGAACAAATTAGATCCCCGCTCCCAGAAGTTTAAGATCGCGATCTCGACGTTCTTGGAACTAGATCCTAACCTAACAAGGCTGTGACCCTGATCTTAGGATTATCTGAACATCTATTTTCATATCTAATTAAATACTTTTAAACTCCAAAAATGGTTAAAATCATGTAGATCTATAAACATATGAAAATTCTTAAAATGGACGGTGTAGATAATATGTTGCAAAATGCACAATTTCTAACACTCAAATTTTTTTATTTTTTTCATACATTCATACATCTTAATGTCAAGATGAACAATTAGAGACTTTTTCAACATTAAAACAATCTTTTTCGATGGATTTTTGGGGTGTATCCTAAGTTCTACATTTATGGTTGCAACCTTATATAAACCTTTTCTTATAATTTTGATTTTATAT